TAACTAGTAACGGTAATTTGTTACTTTTCCTACTCGGTAACGAGTAACTGTAACTTGTTACTTTTAAAAAGTAACTTTCCATTCCCTGGTGGTTAATGATTGAATTTCGCCCACTCGATTGGCGACAAAAGACGTCCAATTACGATTGGGCGCTTGTAACCAGCATAACACTATATTGGAATCGGTCCAATAGACGGTATTATCAATCTTACAGTTCAAGCAGTTTTTCAGCTTGTCGACTAGTTGAGCTAGTACCAAAGCCCCACATAATTCCAATCGTGGTATTGATAATGATTTCACCGGGGCTATCCACGATTTGGAAGCAATCAAATGACTTTCCACTTGTCCGCTCTCAGAGATAGATCGCATGTACACGCATGCTCCGTACGCCTGTTGACTCGCATCAGCAAATCCGTGTAGTTCAATGTATACTGGGTTTTCTGTCAGCATTCTTCGAGAAATCTTGACGTCATTCAGCTGTTCGAGTTGCGATTCATACTCCTTCCACGTAGTATTCAGGTTCATAGGAATTGATTCGTCCCAATCAATTTTCAACAACCACAATTCTTGCATAATGATTTTTCCCGTCAACGTTACAGGTCCTATGAACCCCAGGGGATCGAATATTAGTGCTGTCCTTGATAAAATGTTTCGCTTGGTGGGTTTCTCGAACGGTGTCCATCTGCCTGCCTCAACGAATTTGAATATATCCAAATCGTAGTTCCACACTACTCCAAGTGCCCGAGTTTCATTCTGAGATTCCCTTGCGTTAAACTCTTTATTATCTGATAGTGATTTATTGTCTCGCAGCTTGATTTCGGAGCACCATTTCGTCAATTCAAATCCTCCTCGCTTGAGTAATTCATGAGTTTGCTGCTTTATAATCATTGCTTCATCTATTGATTTCGCTCCTGTTAGCATGTCATCTACGTAGAAATCCCTCAACACGATTTTCGAGCTAAGTGGGTAGTCAGAGGCTTCATCTTCGGCGAGTTTTCGTAATGCTCTTATGGCTAAAAACGGTGCTGCTGCTGTGCCGTAGGTTACAGTCATGAGTTCAAATATCTTTAAATCTTCTTGGGGATTATCTCGCCAGAAAATGCGTTGAAGCGATCTCTGGGTTGGATGAATTAGTACTTGCCGGTACATTTTCGTGATATCCGCGGTGATTGCTACTGCAAATGTACGAAATCTTGCCAAAATAGCAAATAGATCCTGTTGAATTATTGGACCGACGAGTAGCATATCATTTAAACATTTTTCTGAGTCAGTTTTGCATGATGCATCAAAAACCACACGTGTTTTTGTCGTCGCACTCGTTTCCTTGAATACCGCATGATGCGGTAAATAATTACATAACCGTCATCAGTAATATCCTTGACCTCCTGCATGTGGATTAAAGACTGATACTCATTCATAAAATTACGATAAGCAACATAAATATCGGGTTGTTTGGCCAATCGTCTTTCCAGTGCGTAAAATCTCCGTTTGGCGATCTCCTTCGAGTTGCCTAACTGGCTCATTAACTCTTCCTTAATTAGAAGTTTGACTATATACCTTCCATCAGAATTGCGCGTAGTGGTTTGTAAAAACTGAGTTTCGCACTCACGTTCTTCGGGTGATAGCGTAAAATTCTCATTGCAATAGTTATTTTCAATTTGCCAGAATTTGGAGATGGTGTTATTTAAATCATCCATTGTGGCTAAATGACAAATGTGGCTCTTATTCGATTGGTGATTGTTGAATATCTGACCAGAAATGATCCAACCGAGTTTGGTCTTCTGAATGGTAGAATGTGTCCGGCATGATTTGATCTGACCAATGCAGAGCAATTGCCAGAACACTTCAGCGCCGATCAAAAGATCAATGTTATCCGGAATATTAAAATGAGGATCTGCTAATGAAATGTTAGATGGAATTTTCAGTTGTGATCTGTCCACAAATTCTTGAGGTAAATTTTGTGTGATTTTCTGCAGGATTACACATTCCATTCGTTCGCGATAACTATTTTGTTTGGATTGTATCAGAACGTTAACAGATCTTCTTGCGTTGATGCCTCCCTGTGCTACTCCAGAAATGGCGATATTTAAATGTTGCTGTTTCAGTCGTAATTTGTTTGCCAACGTTTCGGTGATGAAATTCAGCTGTGATCCATTATCCAATAACGCACGACATGTGTGACTCTTGCCTTGAGCATCAAAAATATGTACTATCGCTGTGGACAATAATACCTTCCTTGCTGAGCCTTGTTGAGAACATTGTGTGACCACTGGTGCTTGTGAAATTTCAGCGTTTGATACGAGATCCGTTTCGTCTTGATTGCCTGCGTTCTCGAAATGTAAGAGTGTGTTATGCGCCTTACTGCATTTGCGACAGAAACCGGAAGTGCAATTCTTAACTTGATGATTGCTTGTTTTTAAACAATTAATGCACAGGCGTGCATTTTTTACTATCTTGAATCGTTTGTCGACAGGAAGTTCTTTAAATGAGTTACATTGATACAAGAAGTGACACTCCTTGCAACATTCGCAAATTACATTTGTGCTGGCTGCGTAATTGACTGCTCGTTTTGGTTTTTGATTTAATGTATTTGTATCAATAGATGAAACTGCGCCCGTGGTCTTGCTTGCGATTGCCTCCAAAGCCGAACATCGTTGTAACAAAAAATCCTTGAGTTGTTTGAACGTAGGTATCGAGTTATCCGTGCGACTTGTCTCCCATTCTCGTTTTGTAACTGGATCAAGCTTGGACGAAATGAGATGTATTATCAAATCATCCCATGTATCTACTGGTCTTTCTAACGCTTTAAGAGCGCGCAAATGTTTGAGTGCGTTGCTAAGTAAGGTACGCAACTGTACGTGATTTTCTCTTGTGATATGCGGTAATTCCACCAGTTGCCTCACGTGATCCTAAATGATGCGTTGACGATTGTTATAACGTTCAATCAGCGATTCCCATGCCTCAACATAGTTCTCTGTAGTTATGTCGATTGACTTTATGATGTCCAATGCTTCACCCTTCAACGACGAACGTAAGTAATGGAATTTCTGGACAGCTGCTAGCTTACAATTTGAATGAATCAATTTTTCGAAAGTATCATAGAAAGAATACCAATCTTCATTTATGCCCGAAAAACTTGGTAATTCAATTTTAGGTAAACAAATCTGTGAAACAGAGGTATCGTTATTCAACTGCGTATTGGAATTCCGAGAACCGAGGTCGGTTTGAGCTTCGCGAATGTTGAATTCACTAATTGCCGTTTCGAGTTTTGCCATCAGCGAAAAATAAGCGCCTTCAAAACTACCTCTATCATCGGAATGCTGAATGTCAATTTGATGTTGATTCTCATCGCTAGTGTCATCAACACTCAGCATTTCAATTCGCGTTTGCACTTAATCATACTGATCCCACAATATACTTAACTTTTTTGATCTCTTCATTAGTTCAAAACGTGAAATTTGTGCAATTTCTATCGAATCGATAAACCCTTTCAATCGTGTGACTGCTGCCTTAATAACCTTGCGCTTACCTTTCGCCTCCGCTACTGTAAGGTTAGACATTTTGCTGTTGTCGCTTTATTGTCGCTGTGTACAATTATTCTACTCTAAAAGAAAACGCTACGACGATGAACTTAACTATACTGTACTCTGACTTACTCACAAAATTTATGTCCGATACTTTTCGATTAAATTACTTGTTTGAATTGACAATTATATAGTCCGCCGTACAGGTTATATTTCGATGCACGTCGCCGACTTGAAAGTGATGTGAGTTGCTAGACTTGTTGACTTGATGAAAAGCGCCGCGTGGTGACTGCCTTGCTAACTGCTTGTCGCCACGATGCTGCGTTGATGTCCAAGATGGCGTCAGATTTTCAACGTAGTGACTGCCGCGCCAATAACGGCTACTGTTACTGTTGCGCCGATGTCCAAGATGGCGTCACGAATCTCTTGATACTTCGCTCGTCGGAAAAAATGATGCAATGCATTTTGTAGCTAAATCGTAATAGTTCCCCGATGTAACTTAAGCGACTGCCGGCTCGAAATGTGCTCACTAATCAAGCCATCCGCTTATACGTTAGCGTCGTTGGATATCTCGCACCTTGTATTCCTTTGGACAACCTTGCTGTGAAGATATCGGGCTCAAAGGACCATGTTGCTTGAACGAGCAATTTCTCGTTGTTGTGAGATGTCTCACTTGTGGATGCGGACACTCTTTATATCGAAATAATAACACAAGGTTTACTTGATTTAGATCCAATTACTTTATTTGTGACCACATTAACTGTCGTCCTTTCCATGTGATGTCTGTTCGGGAACTGAACTTCTCTTTTCCCCCTCCGCGATACCAAACAAAAAATGAACGATCGTGTGTGAAAATGGCGCCGGAATTAAAATATGCGTTAGCGCAAACAATTTACATTTCCAATGCGTTAAAAATTAATGGAAGGTCACATATATTAAAATTTTCACATAATTACATATTAATATATAATATGTATTATGTAATTATATATTATTATTACATAATAATTTTTTATGCAAAGTTTAACGGGACTGTTCTCTTATTTGGCTTACTATATTATATAATTATAATTATAATAATCATATTATAATTATTATAATAATTATAATAATTATAATAATTATTGTTATTATAATTACATTATAATAACAATAAAATTGACAAGAGAACATCGTAATCCAATGTCAGCTTTCATCTGTAAGGTGTTAGATTATTAGAACATTCATAATTAGGCAAGTGAAAAGTACAGTGAAAGTGCACATCGAAGTGTAAGTTCAACATAAGGGGAAAAAATGACAGAAACTTAAATAATGACAGAAATAGATAATTATATTCGACAGAACAATGTTTATAAAATTATGTTATTTTGTTATTATGTTATTTATTATGTTATTTTGTTTTGCAAAATATTTGTAATCTTACAATTATATAGGTATATTTGCAAAAACAGATGCAGAAATACTCTGATGTTTTCTAAAATATTGATAACTATATGCCCAATTTATTTTGACATAATATTTCGATTTCTTATTGCTTTCTGTGCGAGCGTTCACCGTTAGACCACCGAGGCCTTTTTTAGTAATGTTTGCAATAACAAGTATATGTAAGAACGTCTTTTTCAAGTGACGTAAATAAACAATATTTAATCAATAAACGACGTAAATAAACAATATTTACTTTTATTGTTCAATATTTACTTTTATTTAAATAATATTTAATAAATAAACGACGTAAATAAACAATATTTACTTCTATTGTTCAATATTTACTTCTATTTTCTTTCTATTCTATTTTACTTCATCGTTCTGCACCAAGATATGTGCACAGATAATCCATAATAAATAAATGTTAAATTTGATACGTATATCTATTTACATACATTTATATGAATATACATTATATTACATTTATAAATATTTATACATTTATACATATTTATACATATTTATACATTATATTGTATTTATACATATATACATTTATACATATTTACGTATATCAAACTTCTGTTATTTAACTTTTTTCCTGTTGCTATGCGATGCTCCTATAAAATGAAGTATCTAATATATCTTAATGCCAATATTGTATTAATATTATATTTCTGATCTAAAAAAATCTCTGGTCCCATTTCGCAAGAAAAAAGAGGCGAAATAATTGCTTACTTTAATGCGGGATTTAATGGGATTGAAATATCCAGGCTATGCGATATCCACGTTAGACATATTAAATTAATAAGTAGGGATGTAACGAAAGTGGTTATAGTGAAAGCGAATGCGAAAACGAAAGAAAAAAAA